GGGCCTGCAAAGATGTTCTAGCTCTTCCATCTGGCTGGTGCATCCTAACAGTGAGCCAGCCTCAGAAGGGATGGGAAAGGACTTCGTCTGCGGACAGGTGTACCGAGGGGAGTGCAGCTCCTTGGATAAACCTCTGTCTGCAAGCTACGTGCACCACTTCACTGCACACGTTATAAGTGAAAGGAGCGCCTGGAAGCTGGGTCCAGACTCACTGTCCCCCCATAAGCCCTGTCCAGTATCTGTGTGGTGTCCGAGGCTGTGGTGCCAAGGGGCTACAATGAAAGTCTTGGGTCCTGTGGTCAGTGCAGGCCAAAGGCACCATTGGGGGAGGGGCAGGCAGGGACTGGGGAGCCCCAGGAGGAGGTGGGAACAGTGGAAAGGCTGCTGCCAAAGCTCACCTTCCTTCCTGAGGAGGCCCGCAGCCCTGTGCAGGCTGCCCGGCCCTCCACACAGGGCGCACACACACGCATACACCACACCCCCCGCAGGCAGACCGTGCAGCACTCTCAGTGCCAAGGAAGATGTGAGTGCAGGACAGGGCCACAGGGAAGCTAAGGCTTTAGACAAGCTAATAGTCCAAGAGGGGGGCCGGGGACAGAGCAAGTGCTCCTGGGTGCGCTGAACTGGGGAAAGCTGGGTCCTGAAGTCCTTGGTTCTGGGACAGCAGGTCTGCCTGTCACTTTCCCGGTCTGCCTGGAGTGGCCATCTCTGGGCTGAACTTGGGGAGCCACCGTGGGGAGGTGAGTGGGCTTCCTCGTGGCCTCTGCCACTCCAGCACTGCCAGCAGTTGTGGGGACCCGACTCGGTTCACCCGGCAGGACTGCTCAGATACCGAGGAGGATGGCGCTGAACTGGGAGCCGCTGCGCACAGTGACAAGGGAGCCACTGGCGTTTTCGAGGAAAACGGAGGTGTACTGCCCCATCTGCGGGAGGGGTGGCGTCAGCCTGGGCACTGCCAGCCACCCACCCTCAAACCCAGCACTCTGACCCATTCTGGTGCTTTCTCCCCAGCTCCACTGGCCCCTGCGCCTATGGGTTCCTGCAGTTTGCGTGTGTGAGAGTGAGCCCCTGCTCCGGGCCAGCAAGGTATCCAGAGTCCAGCAGGCTTCTCTGTTGCACACAGAGCCTGGAAGCCTCTAACCTGGGGTGTGAGGCTGGCCCCTGACCCATTGGGCAGGGCCATCGTAGGACTGACCAGTCCTTGGGTCTGGCTGCTCCAAAAGTGGTCCACACAACAGCAGGATCCCATCCCTGGGAATTCCTAGAACTGCAGACTCTGGGACCCACCCTCCCTGCATTTTAGGATCCCAGGTGTGCCTGAGCCATTTGACTTCTCCCAGACCAGACCACTGAATGCCTTCCAGCAGCTGGGCCTCCCATCCTGACTGCTGTGTGAGCTCGGGCAAGTTACTTAACCCTCCTGTGCCTTGTTCCAGTTTGTAAACGGGAATAGTAGTACCCACCTCAACGCTGTGACAAGGAAACGGGTCATTTATGCAAAGCACTTAGAATGGGCCTGCAGAGGGCTACTGAAATGTGAGCTGTTCACACGTCCACACTGAGTTTTTCAGTGCGTCTCACCTCTGCTTCAATTCCTTGACTTGCCCAAATCTCAGTGTCAGAAAGAGGCTCACTTAGGGTTTTGTGAAGGAGATAACTACATGCCCTGCTTCCCCCAGTGGCAGTGGGCTCAGGTGTCGTGAGGGAAGTCAGCTGGGCCCTGGGCTGACCCCTGTTCCAGGAGCATCAGCCCTCAGTGTGGCATGGGGGGGTCTCAAAGGAGCTGCAGCTGAGGACCGGTGGCCCTGGGGCAGAGTGGGATTTGGGGGAAGAGGACCTGGACATGGCCCGGCTCTGCCTGCACTAGTCTGAGGGCTGGCGCAGCCCCAAACCTCTCCCAGAGCTCATGAGCACCCACCAGCACCCCTCCCTGCCAGGTCACCCCATAGCCACGCCAAGGTGGTGCCCCCCATGCCCAAGCTGCCCCTGCACCTGCAGATAGAGAACACCGTTCACAGAGATGGTGAAGAGCTCACTGCAGCTCTGCAGGCCCGCGACAGCCTCCAGGGAGCTGTGGCCAAAGCAGAAAGAGGGTCAGTCCGAGCTCCCACCCCAGACCCCACCAGTGTCACAAGGCGCTCACGGCTGACACGCAGCCCGGCAAAGTGCCAAGGGGACAGCTGTCTAGGTCGGGCCTTCTGGTGGGGGCAGAATCTGAACAAGGTCCCCTAAAGGAGGCCAGTCTCCACAGGACCAAAGTTGTCCAGCCCGTGCGGGAAAGGCAAGCCTGGGCCCCAGCCAGGGCTGCTCTGGGAGCCCCAGGGCACTGGCAGCCACAGCCTGGCGGGGGTCAGGCCAAGGAGGAGCACTTTCCAAACCAGAATCAGAGGTTGTGAACTTCATTCACACCTCCTGCAGCTACTGCCAGCACCTGCCTAGCTCGGGGTCTGTTCTGGGTGCGGGACAGAGGGAGTGGCCCCTGCCCTCTGTGACCAGGTGCAACGGGAAGGGGCGCATGGTCACCCACAGGAGCGTGAGGAGGGGACGCACAGACTGGTCAGCTCTCTGAGGAGCTGGTCCAGGTCTGCCTCTGGGGGGGGGTATGTGCCCAGGACCCACGGGGATGTGCTCGTTAACCGTTCCTGCTGCTGGGAAGGGAGCGTCCCGTCCCGGTCACCAGGCCACAGTGGCAGTGGGGATGGAGGAAGAGCCCAGGTCTGGCGCCCGGAGCTGCCGGCCCCCCCCCCC